GATTAGAAAGCGAGCAGACAATGGGGCACCTGCCTGGCTCAGTCAGTGGAGCATGCAACTCTTGATCTCAGGGTCGTGAGTTCAAGCCCCACGCTGGGGGTGGAGTTTACTTAAAAATCTAGAGATGTTTGCACAACTCTGTGAACTGTACTCTTTCAAAAGTGAATTTATGGCATGTGAATTATATCCCAATAAAAAGTCTAAAAAAAAAGAAACTGGGCGCCTGGGTGGCTCCATTTTTAAGCGTCTGCCTTTCGCTCAGGTCACCATCCCGGGGTCCTGGGATCCAGCCCCACATGAAGCTCCCTGCTCAGCGGGGAGCCTGCTTCTCCCTGTGCCCCTCCCCCCAGCTCGTGCTCCCTCTTTTCTCAAATAAATAGTATCTTTAAAAAAAGAGATAACAAGCACGCACGAGCACTATTTCAGAGATATGTCATTCTCCTGGTTTCTCCTGGTCTCGCAGACACCCTCAGCCCTGCTGGTGTGGCCTCGGGCTGTGTCCACACACCCAACTGCTCCCACGTCGACAGGCGCCTCCCAACCCCTCCCAACCCCTCCCTGTGGGCTGCCCTCGGAGGGGACACAGGTCTGGCCTGGAAGAATCAGGGGAGTCCACCAGGAGGAGGAGGGAAGGCTCCACACGAAGTGAGTGTGTAAGGGCCCGAGCCAATCCAGCGGGGCTCTCGAGAAGTGGCTGGGCACGGCTCCCCAGCCCCCAGCCCACCCCGGGACTGGATGCCCCTGGTGACGAGCAGTCAAAGCCAGGAGGCCGGAGGCCAGGCTGTGATCCTATTCCTCCAGCCTGTCTGGCCTGGGCCGCATCTGAATCTGCATGGCCTCTCTGCAGACAGAGCTGCTGCTGGATTCTAGGCAAGGCCGGATGGCCAGCCAGGCACCAACCATGACCTGCTCAGCCTCTGCGCATAGGCCGCTGTGACTCGGATTCCATTCCTGCAGACTGGAGGCTGGTAATTTTACTCACGTCCACACAGTCATTTCTATGGCCTGATAGAAAGTTCTTTGATGTCTCTTGCAATCTCTTTCTTGCCCATAAATAATCTCGCTGAAAGACCGAATCCAAACGGCCGGTGGCTGGAATGACAGGCACACACAGCTCATTCTTTCCCAGTAAGACCGGCGTGAAGCGAGCAGCAGAGAGAGGAGCCCTCGTTCGGAAAGACCTGAGGGTCCCGGCCTCCAAAGGGGAGACCTGAGCAGACTGCCACACCCCTCCCTCAAAGAGCCTGCAAAGCCACTGTGAGCAGCTCCCAGCCCCGGCCCCCGGCCGCCCTCAGTGCTTTGCTGAACTGCGTGCAGCCACAAAACCGGCGAGGTTCCACCAGGAAAAACCAACCAAGCTACTTACGGACAATGTAAAATCACAGTCACAGTGACTTACAGGTGATACAAAATAACCACACACAGTGAGTTCTTAAATTAACAATTTGTTTCCATAAAAATGATACAGACGACTCTTGTCAACCGCACGCATATCGAGAACGTTTACTGCCCTGGATCCCAGACACAGCTCTCCTATCTATAACATCACCAACTGTCTAGAGAGGAACACGTGGCGGGAATGGGATCACGTCCTACTTGCAGTGGCTGGCTCCAACCAAATGCTGTTTACCAAGCACATACCCGTTCTCTGTCTGCCAAAGATTTCAGAAGAATATGGCCTTTAAACCCAGCCCTGAGAAAATTCGATCTGTGGCGGGTTGCTGCGATTCACGAGGCAAAGCCCCACAGCTGTATGACAGCACATCTTCTGGGCACGGGCACGCGAGAGCTGCTCCCGATCCAGAGCTCGGACCCGAGCCCCATCCAGGCCCAATGCTTCTGTGTCCCCCTCACACCACGGCTAGTGTGGTTGGCGGAGTCCACATCGGTGTCCCTGGCTGACCCCGTGAATCGGACTTGCCAGGGGGTGATCAGGGTAAGGATGTTGGGCTGGCATGTGACCCCGGATTATCTGGGTAGGCAGTGTCATCAAGAGGGTTCTGGTGAGGAGGCAGAGCATCAGAGTCAGGGACAAGATGGGAGGGACAGGTCAGGACAGAAGAGGACACTGTCCTGGAGGATGGGCCCTGGGCCGAGGAACGGGGAGTGCCTCTAGAAGCTGGAAAGACAAGGAAGACGACTCCGGCCAGAGCCCCCGCAGAAACGCAGCCTCATGGGCCTGTTTATGACATAAGATCATAAATCTGTACTGTTTACGCCACCGGCTCTGAGGTGACCTAAGTGAGCACAGGACGCTTCACGGAGAGGAGAGGCCATCTTGCTCTTGACGGTGGGATAGCTGGGCGGAGGAAATCCCGGCGCTGCACCCGGAGCGCACCCCACCCCCCAGGGGCTGGAGGGAAGCGGACTAAGGGGCTCCTCTGAGGGGGGCCCAGGTTCTCTGGCCTATCTCCCGCGTGACAACACTTGGAAAGCGTTCTGGAAGGTGTCTCTGGGCCGCTGAATACCACTATGTGCGGGCGCTTTACGGGAGCGGGGCCGAAGGAGCAGACACTGGGGCATGAACAAGAAGGATGTCTGCGCCCTACGTGCCGTGCAGCCAGCAACTCAGATGTGAAAAATCAAAGGTCACGCTGGGAAGCCACTGCCCCTTTGTAAAGAGCTCAGCTGTCTGCACAACTGGGGCTGCTTTTGGACCTCTCCTCCCACGCTTCCTCCCCCACTTGCCAAAACCATTTGTCACATCACCTGCCTCGAAGTCCACGGGATACACCTCACAACGAGAATTTACTCAACCACACACGCACAAAGTTCAACCACACAGTTTAATGCAAATAATTTTAGATTTCCAAAAATTTGCAAAAACAGGAGAGTTCATATCCAGCTTCCCCAAATGCCACCATAACATAATCAGAGAAGAATCCCAGCACTCTGGTAACTGGGCTGCAGACAGCCACACCCCAGCGGCTGCCCGCCACTGCTCTTCCCGGCCCGGGACCTGTGTGGCAGTCCCTCCAACTCCCCGGAGCCCTCCTTTCTCTGGACCCTGATACCCATGAAGAGCACGGTCTTCACTCTACAGAATGTGTGTAGTCTGGCATCTGCTCACTGGAGTGAAGTAGGAACACCAAGGAGGGCATCAGAGGGGGACGCTAGCCGTGGGTAGGCCACCAAGTGTGTACTGCCATCTCTACCACACCCTGAGGGGAGGCCCCAGGACAGGCCCCAGGTTTCACACCACACTCGGCCCGACTCTGAGCTCCCAGCCGGTTCTCGTCTCTACCCCTGACACTGTGCTGTGACTTCTGTCCCCAACCTGCCGCTTCTATGCTGGGCAGACCACCGCCCACTGTCCCTCCCCTGCCCACAGCTTAACCCCATTAGTGATTTATATCAGCATGGACTTGTGCAGAGTCACTGATTCTGAAGACTATAACCCAATAGAATATTCTGTTGCTCCAACTGACCCGGATGTAGCTCCCTGGGTGGGGGCCTATATTCTTCCAACAAGCCCCCATCCTATTTCCAGCAATTCCTTGCTTTCTGCCACAAATGGTTAAGGCTCCGGTTGGATTTCCCACTCTGGCCCGGGCACCAGCTGTCCCTCTGGGAGCCTGCTTCCAGCTGTCAGGAGTAGCGCTCCAGCCCAGGACGGGGCAAGGGTGAGCACCAGCTGCAGGGTCACGACTCCAGGCCCCTGGGCACTCAGGGCTGGCAGGTGCACATAGATGCACGCACACATTAAAGTACGTCTCTTTGTGCAGCCACCTTATCTGTGACACAACAGGGACTCCTGAGACCCCGGCTCTCCGTGCTCCCTAGTTCTCTAGTCCTAGAACACTGGCTTTCAGAGCGGGCCAGACAACAGAACAGTCTTGTTGTCCCCAACCCACCGCAGCTGATGCTGGGTGCCCCACAGCTGTGTCATCTTTGAGCACAGAGAACAGGAATTCGGCTCAGAGTCAGGGCTTCACGACACACCGGCCACCATCCTCCTTAGCGTCTGCTCTGTCCTTCCTCAATTTTGTGTTTGCACAAATGTGCAGATACTTCTAGCTTCCTGTCTTCCTTGTTAACGTCACTACAGATGCTTCTAGAGCCTGCCTTTCTTATATACAACGTGCCTATGGAAGGAGGCCAGCCCATGTCAGTTCAGACTCCCGGCACAGCCCCCCACAAGAGCCACGGGTCATCAAAAGCTCGTACATGTGGGCATCTGGGTCACTTCAGCGTTCCGTAATTATAAACAATACCACATAAACGACCTTGTGTGTATGTAATTCTAGACGGTTAGCAAACAAACTAGTTTCATGGCTCAGTTTGGTGTTAAAAGCCAAGACACCTTAGCAACTGGACGCTAACATGAAAAAGTCGTAGCATGATGACGGCGTAAGACAGAGCCCAAATACCCGACGGTGACAAACGGCGGACGGGAGCAGGAGGAGCTAACCACTCACGGTACACGGGGCGGAGTCGGCACCGTGGCAAGGGCACCAAGCGCTGGAGGGACTTACTCCAGGGAGGGTCTAAGCCAAGAAGCACCCACCGCAGGTGGGCTGAAATCAGAGGGACCTGAAGGCAGAGACCGGGACACGGCCACACCTCTACCACCCCTGGCTGAGGAGCAGGCAGTGGGGACTTTTGGGAGCCCAGGCATGGGTCATGGCTGGCGGTCCCTCCCGGGGTCACTGTCCTAGAAGGGATGTCTCCACCATCTTCCATTAGCCACACTGGGACCAAAGCTGGCTGGCCAGGAGCCAGGGAGGGCAGCGCTGGGCCCAGACCCACACACACACACGCGGCTTTCTGCATGGGCATTGGAACCCTGGCCACGTAGAGAAGCCACCTGGAAACCCTGGCTAGGTTAGGGCACACGTGAGGTTTAAGTGACTGCAGACAATTCTGGGGGTAGCCCTGGTGAAGGTGACGCCGCAGGACCATGCGGGTGTGCTTTCAGAGGGAGACGCTGGAGACCACATGCGTGAGGCAAGCTACGAGTGTCCCAACACTTCGTTTCTCAGTTACAATACACGGGTCACTGTTACTAGTTTTATAAACACAATCTGTACAGGTCATAAAATGAGCCTTTGGTTAAAAGGTACTTGGTGTTCAGGCACGACCGGAAACATCACTAGGTCAAATATGTCAAAGGCCAGACGTGCTCTCCTTCCCAAGTTCATATTTTGTTTAGGAAAACAGGAAGTGAACTGGTGCCCAGAAGCACAAGGAAACCGTTTCTGCCTGGGAGAGGTTTCTGACAGCACCTGTATCTCCGTGGAGGATGAAGCTGCGAGCACTCAGCACGCCAGCACTGTGGAGTCACCGTGTCCCCCAGGCCACGTGTCCCCTTGCCAGGTGGGCACGACTCCGCACTCCTACCTCCCACCTGCCACAGGTCTCCTTAGGAACTCCACCACACTCGATGTAAAGATAAAACCTAACACTCTTGGGGAAAAATGAGATCTAAAAGTAATAGTAAGTTTTCAAAACAACCTGGGAAACATCGGGATGAGCTCTTTCTGTCAAGGAGGGCATTCTGGAACCTCTCCATCACAGGACCTGACCCTAAGCTGTCAGCTGACAAGGTCGCACAACACACTCCATCCCAGAAGGCGGGGCAGCCGGTGGTCTTTTTCCATCACGAGTTAGTTTTTGCCTCTGGTTTTCCATCAGTCAAATCTCCAAATCCCAGCTTTTCCAGGGGCTCCTGTGCCATCAGCTGCCTACGAGACGGGAAGAAAACGAAGAACACTGTCTGCGCGGGCCTGCGCTTTCACTCCCATCCCACCCAACTGGTGTCTGGGGGGCTGCCTGCACCCAGGGATACCGCTGCATCTGGGTCACCGTCTGCGCCCTCCTCCTCCAGGCTGATTGACGCCTGCGCCTCTGGACCCCAGAGGGACAGCCGCTGGCAACCAGTGCACAGAGCTCCCCACGCAGAGGGCGCAGCCAGGACCCAAAGGAAGTGGGCAGACCACCGTGAGGCTCCCCAAGGGCACAGTAGGAACAGACGCCTGACCCCCAGGTCCCTGTGAAGACACCCTGGACAAGGTGCGGACAGGCCAGGACAGACTTTATCTGGTACAACAGATCCTGGACAATGCAGGAGTGAGGGGCACCAACCACCCGTGCGGTCAAGGATCCATCCATAACTCCTGACTCCCCAAAAGCTTAAGGACCGACAGTCTACCGCTGACCAGAAACCTTAGCTATAACCTAAGTGTATCCTAGCAAGATGTAACCCAGAGAAAACAAAAGGGCTAATAAGAAAAACACAAGGAAGAAACATATTTCCAGGATTCTACTGCATTTATCGAAAAGAGTCTGCATGTAAGGAAAACTGCGCTGTCCATGGTCACCATGTGTTAGCTTTACTCATAGCTCAGGAACACCCAGATGCATGGTGCATGGGCTCTGCCATCCTCTCGCTCCTGCCCCAGGTCCTGCATGGCCCCATAGCTGGCCAGCAGCCGTGTCCCACTCCCACCTCCTCCCTATGACCAGCCATGTGCTAGCCTCCCACCACGTCCACAGAAGTCAGGGCCATGAAGATGGAGATGCCCAGCTCAGAGCCCCTGCTGAACTCAGCAGTCTCCCCACGTCTGGCTTCCCGCCACCCATGCTCCAGGGAAAGGGAGGCCTGGCTTTCATTCTGTTTTGTTTTGGGGGTCAGGGATGGTGGGTCGACCCCAACTCTCAGAGGCATCTGTCCTGCCTGCCAGGGGTGGAGAGGGGGCAGCAGCATGACCCCACAGGAACCGCCGGGCTCAGCCAGCACAAAGCCCATCATCACTTCACACACTGTGTCCCGGCCCCCACTGCAGAGCCTGTGCACCCAGCCTCATGCTCAGCCAGCATACTGGGCACCGCGGCCCGTCCAAGTCACCTGCTCAGACGACCCGCTTTCTGCAGGTTCTGCGGGGCCCCAGGGGGAGCAGGCCACGCTTCTGCAGAAACACAATGCCTTGCAGAGAGATGATCTCTAGCCAAACTTCACAAGGAGTGTCACTTATCTCTCAGGAAAATGTCCCCAGAACTGCAAACCTCAGTCTGTAGAATTTAATCTAGAGCACAGTAAATCTATAGCATGGAACGCATGTGCCACTCCTTAAACCCAAATGAGGAAAACAATGATAAACTTTCACCACATCTTATCAAAAGAGGACATCTGGCCAACAGTTCTTAAAACTGAGGTCTCTCACACTGTGATCAGCAGAGCAATGACCCCCCAGATGACACCCTTATTGCTGGAGCCCGTGTCACCCTCCAAGGCAGAGGGGAGTTTGGGCCACAGGGGGAAGTACAGTCGCTAACTGGCTGATTCTGAAGTGAGGTGACCCAGGACTCAACCTCATCACGTGAACACTTAAAATGACAGACAGGAAGCGAGGAAGTGTCAGAGATACCCCATGCCGGCTTCGAGAGGGCAGAGGGCTATGAGCCAAGGAGCATGGCCACTGGGAACTCTGCCCCGGAGCCTCCAGAAGGAATGCAGCCTGTCCACGCCCTGACCGAGCCTGGCGACACCCATGTCCAACTACCCGCCACAGAAGGTGAGGTGGGCTGGTGGCACATGGGGGCGAGTGGTGCTCTTCCCGACATGCCGTTGGGACAGGAAGGACCTGAGAGTTTAGCGGCGCAAAGAAGTAATCAGGAAGAAAAAAACAGAAACCAAGTAAGACACAGTTCAAGATATTCTTTCTACAAATCTAAATATTCACAAAATCCAGCTCCTTGGAAAAGTCCTTAAAAACAACAAATAGAACATTTAGCAAGTTCTAAATCCCAAAAGACGACTTCAAAGCCTCCTTTTAGCATAAGGGAAGAGACTGAAGAAAACATCCCACTCCCAGTCCAATCCTTTAGAGACTGAGGCAGCATTAAGCACATGATTTAGGGCAGCCGGATTTCTGGGCGGCCTGGCCTTCACACCAACCTGCACTCTGGGAAGCGGCTGCATGATCCCAGAGGCCCACCCCACGGCACAGGAATCAAACTGAAATAATTACAGAGCCTTGAGATCACAGATCATATGTGTATTTGCTGCTGGTAACCCCAGACAGTTCTTCCCGTGAGAAAATGTGGCCCGCAGCTACAACAGCACACATACTTCCACATCTGGCTACAATGGGCCGAGGCCTCAAGAGACAACTTTACTTATTTATTTTTTTTAAAGGATTTATTTATCTATTTGTCAGAGAGAGAGAGAGAGACAGAGGCAGAAAGAGGGAGAAGCAGGCTCCCCGCTGAGCAAGGAGCCTGATGTGGGACTCAATCCCAGGACCCCGGGATCATGACCTGACCCAAAGGCAGCCACTTAACCCCTGAGCCGCCCAGGCGTTCCAAGAGGCAGCTTTAAAAACTTGTTGTGGTGCAGTTTTTTTACAAAGATGCATAGAGAGACAAGAACAGGTAAGACACGTCTGGGATTTCAGCACAAAAGGGAAAAGGGGTGCCTGGGTGGCTCAGTGGGTTAAGCCTCTGCCTTCGGCTCGGGTCATGGTCTCAGGGTCCTGGGATCGAGCCCCACATCGGGCTCCCTGCTCAGCGGGGAGCCTGCTTCTCCCCCTCTCTTTCTGCCTGCCTCTCTGCCTACTTGTGATCTCTCTCTCTCTGTGTCAAATAATAAAATCTTTAAAAAGAAAAAAGGAAAAGGAAAAAAAGAGGTTTGTAAAATGCAAGAGAAGCAAATGTGCAAAATCTCAATACTGAATCTGGGTGGCCATAGATTTTCATTAAAAACCATCCAAGAGGTGCCTGGGTGGCTCAGGTGTTTAAGCCTCTGCCTTCGGCTCAGGTCATGGTCTCAGGGTCCTGGGATCGAGCCCCGCATTGGGCTCCCTCCCGAGCAGGGAGCCCGCATCCCTCTCTCTCTCCATCTGCCTCTCTGCCTACTTGTGATCTCTGTCTCTGTGTCAAATAAATAAAATCTTTTTTTTTTTAAAGATTTTATTTATTTATTTGACAGACAGAGATCACAAGTAGGCAGAGAGGTAGGCAGAGAGAGAGGAGGAAGCAGGCTCCCGGAAGAGCAGAGAGCCCGATGTGGGACTCGATCCCAGGCCTCCTGGGATCATGACCTGAGCCAAAGGCAGAGGCTTTAACCCACTGAGCCACCCAGGCGCCCATCAAATAAATAAAATCTTAAAAAAAAAAAAAATCTGAAAGTCTTAGGCCGAAATCATTGACCAAGTCAGAAACACACATGCACCCTTTACATTTATCTTAATGTTGCCTGACCAGCCAGGGAAGCCACCTGAAATATGTAACCCACAGAGTAGCCAGCTGCCTCCCTCCGTCCCCACCAACCTCAGCAGGCCTCAGGGGAGGCCAGTCTCCAGCTGTGTGGAGCAAGGCATGGACACACGGAGAGCAGGCAGCTCACTCCCTGGGTCAAATGTGGAGAAAAGACAGGGCCCTTCTGCTGGTCCTTCACCTGGCAAGCCAGGAGCTTCTCTGGGAACCCAGGCAGCTCAACTCCAGAAGAGCTCCCAGCAGGGGCAGCAACCTGCGTGTGCTGGGTCCTCTGGCCTGCACAGGGATGATTAATGCAAGCCTCAGAGGGGCGGATGACCTGCTCACACCCTCACGCTGACAGACACCAACTTCAGACTGTCTCCAAATGTGATAGCTCCAAGAAAAAATTTACTTAGTTCCCATCTTTAAAAGATGTGTTAATTTAAAAGACAGTAATGTGAACACATGATCCCAGGATTGTACTACTTAAAGATGGTGACAACTGGACTCAGGGGGATCTGCTGTCAAATCTAAGCCCTTGTGAGCCTGAACAACTCGAGAGACAGAGCGAGGGCCTTACGTGTCTACAGAGAGCCCTCCACACACCTGTGGGCCTGAGAAACACAAGAGATTTTGCCCTGAGAGCAATGTCTGAGTTTGTGATGGGAAAGTAGAAATGGGGCTCCAACTGGATTGGTTTATGTCAACCTATCTTCACACAAAGCCAAGTGAAGACTGGATTCCTTAATGCGCTAACGAAGGGCTTAAAAATCACAAATAAAAGTTCCCACTCCCACTATATAATTATATGTTACCTGCCTTTCCCCACTAAGGACTAGAACAGTTCTTAAATAAAATCTTAACGGACCATAGTTACAAACCTTTGTTTTATTTAAAAGTGAGCTCTGGTGAATTCTGGTCAAGACAGAACAAATCCTTCATCTTTCATCATTTCTTTTTTTTTTTTTTTTTTAAAGATTTTATTTATTTATTTGAGAGAGAGACAGTGAGAGAAAGCATGAGCAAGGAGAAGGTCAGAGAGAGAAGCAGACTCCCCGTGGAGCTGGGAGCCCGATGCGGGACTCGATCCCGGGACTCCAGGATCATGACCTGAGCCGAAGGCAGTCGTCCAACCAACTGAGCCACCCAGGCGTCCCCATCTTTCATCATTTCTGAAATGGCCTATTGTCTCCCCTCTCACATTTCAAGCACAGCTGAGACTACACCGAACATTTTTATGATCTGAGAATGTGAAAGAAAAAACTGTGTTATCCACAACCTTCAAATCTTTTGGCTCGGTCAGCATTTTCATGACAGACGGTTCTGAAACCTTAAGGACAGGTCAGCAGCTCCCAAATCTGGAAAGAAAATACTCTGAGGAATGCAGTCAGGTATGACGCTGTCACTCACAGAAATGTACCCAGGGCTGCTGCACAACTTGTGGGACCATTTAATCTGGCGGGCCTCAATCCCAGGGACAAGCAATTCTACCGTTGTGAAAGACCTGAGCCTCAATGAGCCCTGCTGCAATGAGCTGCCAGGAAAGAAACGCTCCGGGAGCGGAGGAAGCTTCCAGAAGTCACACATGTCACCAGGTACTTGCCTCTCCATTCTGCACTCTAAATAGGCTTTTGACTCCCTTCTGCACAAAGCGTTTTCAAATTTATTGTCGCGGAGACACTTCATGAACTTCTCTTTGAAGCTTCTGCATTCACCTGGAACGAGAAGGAAAACAGCATCTCCTCTTCAAGCAAAACTGTCAGGCCACGCGCGGGACACGCCGGGAGGCGGCCACCGGGAGCTCCCGCGGGGCTGTTTCTCCCTCGGGGCGGGTCTGGAACGTCGACAACACAGTGTGTCACCCGCTCTCGGCGCGCCGGCCTCCACGGAGGCACCCCGCGAACCCGGACGCCGGCCCCACACCGGAGGCGCTCAGCAGTGCGGGCTCGGACGCGGAGGGTCGGCCCCACGCCCCGCTCCCGCCAGCCACTTGGCGCCGGCCCGTCCCGCCCGCGCGGGGCTCGGTTTCCCCACCTGCGCCGCGGGACCGCGCGGCGCCTCCGGACACTCAGGACTCGCGGCCCGCCGCGCCCGCCGCTCACCTAAGTGATCTAGAGGGAAGCTGCCCTTGTCCGGGGGCCGCGGCTGGAAGCTCTTGGACCCAAAATTCATTGCCGTCGACATGTTGGCGAGCCTCAGAGTACGACGCGCTCCGTACGCAGGGCTGCGGGCCGAGCGCCGAGCAGGCCCCGCGGGAGAGCGGAGCAAGTCGAGCTGAGAGCGGCCGCGGGCCCGCCCCTACTCAGGCCACGCCCCCGCCTCGCAGGCCCCACCCCTTACAGACCGGGCTCCGCCCCCGCGCCAGAGGCCCCGCCCCAGCCAGGCTCTGAAAGGCTCTGATGGCGGCTTTGCCCAGTCCTTGGCAGTCTCCTTCCGTCGGACCTTCGCGGAGACCCACTGGTAGAGGCCAGCCGTCATCTTATGACGAGGAGACGGAAGTCCAGAGAAGCTCCGCAGTTAGCTCAAAGACACATAGCTTGAGCCCGCAGGAAGCCCAGAGCAGGTGCGCTGGCAGGGTCCCAGCAGGCTATGCGGCCCCTCCGGATCCCCAGGGGTCCGCAGGGCCTACCTGCTGAGCAGGAAGGAGCGAGGGCCACCACGACACAGCGTCCCACACCGGGCAGCTCCAGCAACAGAAGTGTGATTGCTCTGGGCTCTGGAGGCCCGACGTCTGAGACGGACATGTGGTGGGGCTGGCTCCTCCCGAAGGCTCTGGGGACACCCCGTTGCAGGCTGCGCCCCAGCTGCGCCTGGTCATCCGCAGTCCGAGGGTTCTTCAGCGCCTGCGCACACCCCGTCTCTACCTTCATCCTCCCGTGCTGGCCGCCCCCCCACCCCGTGTGTCTGTGTCCATATGTCCTCTGCTTGCAAGGACACCAGCCAGATTGGGTGGGCGCACCCTAACGACTTCATCGTGACTAATTACATCTGCAAGGGGCTATTTCCAAAAAAGGTCACCTAAGGTGATGGGGGTTAGGTCTTCAGCTATGCATTCGTCGGGGGCAAGAGGGGCAGCTCCACCTATAAGGAACTCTAAGTGCATCAGGAACAGCTAGGGCTCTGGCGGTCACTTATTACTATTATCACAGCAACAAGAACAACAGCAAAAGGGCTCCGTGGAGACCCCAGCTCTCCATGCAGAGCCTCCTCCCAGCCCCGTCCCGGGGGCAACCACCCCTCATCCCCAAACTGGGACTCTGGATTTCATCTGGATGGAGGAAGAGAATCACTGCCCTCCCAGCGCACCTGTGCTCTGTGAACCTGCATCCCTGCCACCCCAATGCCAACCACGTGCTGGGCCCTAGAGCTGGGCTCACCAGCTCCCTGCCTCCCCCCACCCCCAGTTCCTGGCATGGTCCAGCACTGTGCCTCCTTCTACTGTCAGGACTAGGAGCACTTTCTATAACTCAGGGGCTTTGAAGAATAGTGCCTGCCCCCTCCTCAAGGTCTCCGGAAGGCCTCCAGCTCCCTCCCAGCATGCCTGCCCCTCTGCAGTGTCCACCACTGGGTCTCCGTGCCTGAGGCTGCATTCAGCTGTGTGTCCAGGGCCGGCATGGAGCTGGCCCTGATGCTGCCAGGGCTGGTGGGGGTCCACAGGGAAAGCCCATTGCCATTGTTGAGGCCTTGGTCAGCCTAGTGTTCTGGGGCCACTAAAAACTACAAAAGGAAAACTGCACCTTGATCTTGTCAAATAAATGACCGTTTTAGGCAGCTGGAACCAGGGGCCACGTACTGGGTTATTCATTAATATGTTTCCAGAGCAGTGAACAAAAGACACTTTTATTACCCAGCAAATAACACTTTTCCACTTGACTAGATCATACCACTCAGCAGTCAAGAGGACAGCCCTGCCCCCCAAGGTTGCTCGCAGCCTCTCTGTCCAGCAGCCCTGAGGGACCAATGAAGCATTGGAGGCCTGCTGACCCAGAGGTGACAGACAGCTTTTAATAGACACGTCTGTACCTGGCAAATGATTACTGCTTTATATGAGATGTTTGGCTGGGAGAGGACAGGATTTCCATCTGCGGCGCACAGATACAAGAAGTGGGGGAAGAACTGATGTTTCTGGAAACCCTCTTCAGTGCCAGGCTGTTGGCATGAGGCCTCTGGCACAGTGCTGGGCATACAGCTGAGTTCATTTAGTTCAGCGTTTGAAGGATGAACCCGGTTAGGCAGGGGTACTTACCCTTCACCTCTCATGGAGAGAACCATGTCCAAGGGGACGCAGCCAGTGTACAAGCTACCTAGCACCATGTAACAAACATCTCCAGCTCAGCGGTATAAAACAGAGACCACTGGCTCTGCCAAGAACTTGCAGCGTGGGCCAGCCTTGGTGGAGATGACCTGACCAGCATCAGTTGAGGGCACTCAACCTCAGGCTGAGATACTCCCCCTTGAAGACAGCCCCTAGATCGAACCTTGCCTGAAACTAGACATCGCATATCTTTCCACTTTGATAATTCTGCTGCAAAAGTCTATTTTTCCAAAGGATGAAAATGTGGTTCTCAGAGAAATAGAAGATGCACATGTATTAGTTTCATTTAATGCAAGGATGGAGGAGTTTAGCCAGATGGCAAAGCTGGTTCTGCAAAGGGCGCCCAACCCTGACACAGCCACAGCTGGTCAGAGGAACAGTAAGGCTGCCGGAGTCGCATTGCTAAACTGGACCTACAACAGGTTAATAGCTCACGGGGCAATAAACCGTGACCTTCGGTATTATCTTTTCTGCCAGACAGAAATGATTTGCATTTTTACAGGAAAAACAATTACTTGCAGCTTTTCTGTTTCCTACATGTGAACGTCTAGCTTGAGGGCAGGAACATGTTCTCTCCCACCAGGGAGGCCAGAGGGCTGAACCTGGGGTGGGCAGGGCCATGCTCCCTCTGGGGGCGCTTGGGGAGGGGTGTGCTTCCTGCCTCGTCCAGCTCCTGGTGGCCCCACCTTCCTTGCTTGGGGCCATACCCTCCCTCTCGGCCTCTAAGTTCCCCTGAATTTCTCTGTGTCTGTGTCCTCTACTTTTCTGCCTTTTATAAGGACATCCGTCACTGGATTTAGGGCTACCCTAATCCTAATCTAAACTTGATTACGTCTCCAAAGACTCCATTTCCAAATGTGGGCCCATTCTGGTGTTCTAGGGAGACATGACTTGGGGAGGAGGGAGGCCATTCCACCCAGTACAACACTCCAGCCACTTTGGGGTTATTTTCTCCCTACAAAGAGTCCCAGATGGCACAGAAAGGTTGGGTGCGGAAGCCATGAGACATGGAAGAAGGTCCCCTTAGGTGGTTGGAGCCCAGAAGGTGTGGGCAGGGCCCTGATGTTCAGGAGTCTCAAGTTTGTAAGATGATCTTTATGCCGAGAAGATCGTTGAGCTGCCCTTGACTGGAGGGATGAGCAGAGATGAGAGGGGGCAGAGTGGAAGCCCAACAGACCCTGACCCAGCATCAGCATGGGGGGGTGGGGAGCCGATGAGGCAAGGGCCCTTCAGATGCCCTTCATGGGGGTGGTGGTGGGGAGATCCAGGCTGCCCGTGGGACAATGGGTATGATGCCCTGCCAGGCACAGAGGGAACATTGGCCAGCATCTAACGAGGGGCAGCCCCTTGGCTCAGGGATTCTGGTGCTGGGAACCTATATTACCCAGCGTATCCCTTGCAACTGGGCACGCAGGTATTTCGAGTGGAATGTTTTCAACTGAGACAGAATGGCGGAGAGGAGACGAGGCATCAGTCCGGGGTCTGATCCGGCCACATGGTCACTGCAAGAATAAAAGGCAACTGAACAAAGGGAGGGAGACAAGGGAGGAAGAGACTCGGGGCAGACGGGATACTCATGGTCTGGAATGTGGCAAAGGCTCTGCGGCTGCGCGCGTAGGAGAACTCGTCTAACGGCGTGCTTGGACACCAGCTGCGTGAATACAGTTAGAAACACAGCAAACGCAGGCACACACAGATGCCAAGAGCCTCTGGGAGGACGCAGGAGCAGGGCGGGGGCGCCTAGCGGGGAGGGGGCTCACTTCACAGATGACTCCTGGTGGACTCTGGAGCCGCAGCGAGGTATGTGTCTGTTGTCTGTCTGAACAGATGAACAACCACACGAATGCCTCCAGCCGAGAGAGCCTGTTGGGTGCTGTGGGGCGTGGACAGATGGCACCCATGGAAGACGCGCTCAGCGGTCTGTGCACGCAAGGCAAGGGTCTCCAGGTGAGACCACTGTGGGCCACGGCGGGCGAGGCCAGAGCGGCAGGCCGGGTCCTCCCCGAGAGCCCCCAGGGAGCCAGCCTGCCCACACCTCCGTGCAGACTTCTGGTCCGGCCCGCGGGTGTATTTCTGGAGTTTCAGAGGCCCAGCTGTGGTTCTTGGTTTTGCTACAGCCTCAGGACTCACACAGGGGTGAGGGGTGGGGCCGCCAGGGACCTGCGCAGGACCCCTCCCCGGTGCTGGGGGGCAGGGGCCAGCCAGGTGGGCAGCGGCCCTTTCTAGAAGTTGCCGAGGAAGGGACGTGTGGGAGGGACACTTGCTGCTTCAGTTTTGGGCCCAGGAGGGGAAGGGCCCCAGATGAGCAGCTAGAGGAGTGGTGGCCTGGGGGTGGCGGGGAGGGGGCTTCCCAAGGCCTGGCCAGCACCATCAGTGTCAATGAGGTCTATGGCATCGAGGCCCCAGGACCAGAGACACACAGAAGAGGCCACACCCTTGGGGAGGAGGGACCCTGAGCCTGTCCCCAGGGGACAAGGGCCGAATTCAGGGCAGATGGGACAGGTGCTCCCCACCTCCATCCTCCACAGACTCTTCTAGAACCTTGCCCCTCCCATATACAGTTCCCCTCCCCTTGGGCCTGGGGCAGCCTCAGGGCTCCCCTGAGGTGACTCAAAAGCTAGGTCACAGGTCATGGGTTACAGGTTGTGACCTCTAATGTTCAAGCCCTAATTCTTGAAGCTTGAAAACACAAGTTCATCAAATTCGTTCCCGAGGTCAGAGTCCAACACGGCTCTCCCTGCCACCCTGGGGCAGCCTGGCCAGCCCCCGGGAGCCCCCACAAGGCCCCTGCTCTGGCTCGCCTCCACAGCCTCCTTCCCTTCGGGGTCTGTGATTCCACTGGGCCCCACCAACAATCCAAGACAGTCCCAACTTTAGGGTCAGCTGATGAGCAAATTCAGTTTCACCTTCTATCTAAAGTTTCC